TATATCCGTGAAGTAAAATCATATCTCACAAACGTGGTACAGAAGGTCGTGTTGTTTTAATAAGAGACACGAGATACCTTTTGCATCGCTGAAAGATTTACTGCCAAACTAAATATTTACAAACACAAACACAACAAACATTATTTTGTCGTGGTCATCCAATCGCTCGTATCTTACACCTATTTTCTCAAGACTAACACAATTCTGCAATCTAAACAAGTATGCGCTTTTTTATCGCAGTTTCTCATGTCTGAGCTTCAGTATTCGTCGTACCCTCTGCTGCACGACAGATATATTCTAAATAAAAACGTCAACAATGACGAAACCCTGAAAATATCAGTAACCTACCACAACCGTAAAATACACCGAGAAGACGTAACCAGCAACGATGACAGCAAGAACCAAATCAAAGAGGGCGGGCTTAATACTAAAGTTTAGAGCTATATTAAATTTCGGTAGAAGTAACTCGTTAGGAACAAAGATCATACTCAAAACTATCCTACGTTTTAAGGCACTGCTTTTAAGGGAAGTCACGTTAACAGATAAACTCTAACTCGAAAATTACCATAAATGATATTCTGGTTCGAAACAAGGGGATCTGTGAAAAGGTGTGAAAGTTTTAGTAAAAGTTAGTATTGTGCCTTTGCGTGGTTCCTGTAGTTTCATATGCGTGTTTCCCACCAGGTTATTAAAGCATGGAAACAAATTATACCCCGTCAATGGGCTACCAATGTTGGCAACAGAAACCTGACTAGGAGTTATGCGCAAATTATGCCAATAACTACAGAATTAAATGGCAGTACCTCTCATCCGTTAGAATCGAATCGACATAAATTTTAGATAACGCTAAAAATATTAAATACTCAAACTAGGTGCATACCTATATGCAAAAATTACATCTTCGACGCCTTCGAAAAGAACGAATTCAGGATCTCTGAAAAATGCCTGAAATGGAGCGCACAAAAATAATATATATGATACTTTTTATCCGCCGCAACAGGCATCAAAGCTGCTTCGCTAGCAAACGTTTCCATGTACGCCAACATGTCGTTCAGAAAAGAGTTGTCCTGAGAGCCAACGAAAACCTGTGCACTTCTGGGAGTAGTACTGAAGTACCGGAGCCACATTTTAACATGCGGAACTATTGACTAAAACAAGCACAACTACGTACATCAGAAGAGCTTCCACTTACCTCTTCTCCTTGAATAAAACGTTCGGAAACAAGGTCTGACATACCGAACAAATAACGAAACAACCCTTCGGAGATTATGTTTATATTTTTGGAGAGAACATCTGCGTACTCCGATTTGCTAAAAAAAAGAACAGCATATTACCTGCATTGAATAAAGTAAATGATTTCTTTATGCAGTAAATGATATGATGCCTTGGTAAGTCAAAAACAGGAAGACAACGCATAAAATATTCTTCAATTAAGGCCATCTGACGTTTCGGACCAAGCTCGGTCTGTCTTCAGAGTACAATGAGAAAGGTACGTAATTTTATGCAGCATTAGCTTTCTGGTCTTAAGAGGCTGCCTGATGTTTGCGGTCCAGTATCGCTAGCGTCTGTCCCAAGGTCAAGATTGATGCAGTTGGTTGCGTGGATCAATAGCGCTTCCTTGACGTGCGCAAAAGATACTGTTGCTCTCACGCGACATCTTTCATTTTATCCCATATGTTGTGCTGGTGGGTAACAGCATGTTCGACAATGACAGAATTTTTCTCACATTCTGCCTTTATATATTCAGGGTTTTTTGTCTGTCTTCGACCTTTGCTGACTTGCTGTTGACCCCTTTCTCTAGCATCAGCGTTATTCTACCTGACCAAATTCTTCATGTAACCTGTCTTCCTTTAGCAACCGTGTTACCTGCTTCGACTATGTAAACCAAATCACAGAAGTACGGGAGTTGGTACACCCAACCGGCTTTCTGCT